AGCTGGTCTCCTTACCTCCGTCCTTGGGCCACACTCCCTGTTATGCCCACAGTCCCTTCTCATTAATGAAGTCAGAGATAATCTCTCTAAGGCACAAATCAGATCATATCACTTCAGCTTTTTTTTTCACAAACAAATAAACTGAAATGTATAGAAAAGCTACATAATGTACAGACATTATACCAGTGGTCTGCTTTGTGTATATGGAAGTTAAAAAAACAAAAACCACTCAATGACTTAAGGATGTGACCCTTTGAAGGCAGCATGGCCACATGACTAGTTCTGTCCATTGAGTCGTGGGGGAAGTGATTTGAGTCCTTTCTAGGCTGGAGAACTTAATTGTCAGTGTGATACTCTCCCATTTTGGCAATGCGGTGACAGCCTCCATAAGCCTGGATTCCTGTGTGATCACAATGAATGGAACTTTCCTGACAATCTTTGTTGAACACATAGTGTGAGTAACTGACAAACTTGGTCATTTCAAGCCAATAAAATTCTAGGCATAACCTAAACTATTCTGATACAGATATTAAAGCTAGAAGAAGGATGCTTTTATAACAACAACAGCAGCAAAACAAAGCGACAAAAAAACCCCACCAACCCTGAAATATATGACATTGGCTTATGAGCCACATGGTAGTGGTGAGAAAACTGATTTTGGAGGCTGGAAAGTTGGCAATCCATGTTATTTAATGACAAATCATTGATAAAGCTGTCATCTTCAGTCATTTGGAAGGCATACTATGCACATTGTTAATTTATATATCTATGAGAAGAGGTTGGGAAACAGAATATTGTAGTGTGCACTGGCTGCTGTTGGCTACATTAGGCAAGGTCCTACAAGAAAGAGAGGCACTCGGAAAAGAACCAGCTTACTCACAAGCAGGAATGAAAGAGAATAGAAAGGATTCAAAAATTCCAGGATAAGTGGGGTTGCAAGGCCATCTGCTTCTCAATTCTAAACTATAAAAGATAAGAATGAGAAAGGCTGTGAGCAACAAAGGCTAATTAAAACTCAGCCTCGTGAGGGCGATCAAATTAAGGGTATAGTCATTGCACGTAGTCGTTAAAATCTCCAAGTGGAGTAAGGTGTCTTAAAGTAAAGATCCAGTGAAGGGCAGGGGGCCTAGTAAATCCTCTTAATTGCATAAAAGCACTCAAGGAAAGGAGATAAAGATGTCACATGCACTTACATTAAGTCTGGATATATATATATAATGGTGACAAAGCAAAGAAATAGCAAACATGGGAATCACTGTGAGAAAGGACTGAGGGTATGGTTGATGACACACACGGCTGACTGAAGTACAGTACCTGGGGAGGCTCGTCTACTGAGTTTTTGAGAGTTATAAAGACAGAGGAACCATGGGGCTTGGCTAAAGGAGGCAATGACTGCTGAGACCTTGACCTCTGACCATTTAGGGCAAGAAGTGGACTAGGACAGATGCTCAATCTCCTAAGAAGTCATATTCCACATGTTTATTTTAGATGTAGTCAGGAGGGACAAAGGACAAGGAAAAACTTCCCATGGGGTGGACACAACAGTGAAGGAGAAAAGTGGAGGGGGAGCTCCTTCTACCTAAGAATCAGAGATTAATTAAAGT